TGCTGGGTCGTAGCCAGCCCCAGCCAGGAGGTAGCCCACATCACGGTTGGACAAGATGATCTTTAAGGTCCCTTCCAACCTAGAAGATTCTTCTGTGATCAGAGCCCACCCCTTGGCTGGACCGTGGCTACTCGGGGGTGCCCCATGGAGGCCAAGCTGAAGACCAGATGCGTGCCAAGTGTGGTCCCAACACAACTGGAAGCTTGGGGGTATGTTCCTCCCACCATGGCCAGTCCCACCACTTCATTTGTATTTCAAGCTGGCTTCTCCACCATCTGCACAGCCCTCCCTTCACCTCCGAGGAATCGGGAGCCGCATCGTTTGAAGATCCAATTAAACAGCCAGAAAAAGAGCAATCCATCACTTAAAAAAAGGAAACGGAGACAGTTTACAACGGCGTCCCCGTAGCTCTTTAGGATTTTCTTCTCATTTTCTATTTTAAACACAATAAACACCAATACAGGGCGTACAATTCACTTTGACCTGGTCATGACTAACTGGGACCAGCAGGGAGTTACCCGGTTTTCCCTGTGGATGATCTGAGCACCAGATTAAACCCCACTCCAGAAGGAGATGGCCTGGTTCCTCCACAGCTTCAGGAGTGTAAATACAACTCAAGCACATGGGCTGAACGAGGGATTTAGCTTAAAAGAAAGTAGAAAAACCAAAAATAAAGGCAAAACGACTCTGTCTCCCCATGGTGAGATTTGGAGTAGGTTGGTTTTGGGCAGGATGATGTCCCTCATACCCCAAGAAGGAGGTTGGTTTTGACCAGGATGATGTCCCTCATACCCCAGGATTAGGTTGGTTTTGAGCAGGACAATGGCCCTCTCACCCCAGGGGTAGACTGGTTTTGAGTGGGACGATGTCCCTCAAACCCCAGGAGTCAGTTGGTTTTGAGCAGGACCCCGTAGCTCTTTAGGATTTTCTTCTCATTTTCTATTTTAAACACAATAAACACCAATACAGGGCGTACAATTCACTTTGACCTGGTCATGACTAACTGGGACCAGCAGGGAGTTACCCGGTTTTCCCTGTGGATGATCTGAGCACCAGATTAAACCCCACTCCAGAAGGAGATGGCCTGGTTCCTCCACAGCTTCAGGAGTGTAAATACAACTCAAGCACATGGGCTGAACGAGGGATTTAGCTTAAAAGAAAGTAGAAAAACCAAAAATAAAGGCAAAACGACTCTGTCTCCCCATGGTGAGATTTGGAGTAGGTTGGTTTTGGGCAGGATGATGTCCCTCATACCCCAAGAAGGAGGTTGGTTTTGACCAGGATGATGTCCCTCATACCCCAGGATTAGGTTGGTTTTGAGCAGGACAATGGCCCTCTCACCCCAGGGGTAGACTGGTTTTGAGTGGGACGATGTCCTTCATACCCCAGGAGGGAAGGAGATGGCCTGGTTCCTCCACAGCTTCAGGAGTGTAAATACAACTCAAGCACATGGGCTGAACGAGGGATTTAGCTTAAAAGAAAGTAGAAAAACCAAAAATAAAGGCAAAACGACTCTGTCTCCCCATGGTGAGATCTGGAGTAGGTTGGGTTTGAGCAGGATGATGTCCCTCATACCCCAGGAGCAGGATGGTTTTGAGCAGAACGATGTCCCTCATACCTCAGGAGTAGGGTGGTTTTGAGCAGGATGATGTCCCTCATAGCCCAGGAGTAGACTGGTTTTAAGCGGGACGATGTCCCTCTCACCTCAGGAGTAGGTTGGTTTTAAGGAGGATGATGTCCCTCATACCCCAGGAGTCGGTTGGTTTTGAGCAGGATGATGTCCCTCTCACCCCAGGAGTAGGTTGGTTTTGAGCAGGACGATGTCCCTCTCACCCCAGGGGTAGACTGGTTTTGAGCAAGACAATGTCCCTCAAACCCCAGGAGTAGGTTGGTTTTGAGCAGGACAATGTCCCTCACCCCAGGGGTAGGTTGGTTTTGAGCGGGACAATGTCCCTTCTCACCCCAGAAGTAGGTTGGTTTTGAGCGGGATGATGTCCCTCATACCCCAGGAGTCGGTTGGTTTTGAGCAAGACAATGTCCCTCTCACCCCAGGGGTAGACTGGTTTTGAGCAGGATGATGTCCCTCATACCCCAGGAGTAGGTTGGTTTTGAGCAGGACGATGTCCCTCAAACCCCAGGAGTGGTTGGTTTTGAGCGGGACGATGTCCCTCTCACCCCAGGAGTAGGTTGGTTTTGAGCAGGATGATGTCCCTCATAGCCCAGGAGTAGACTGGTTTTAAGCGGGACGATGTCCCTCTCACCTCAGGAGTAGGTTGGTTTTAAGGAGGATGATGTCCCTCATACCCCAGGAGTCGGTTGGTTTTGAGCAGGATGATGTCCCTCTCACCCCAGGAGTAGGTTGGTTTTGAGCAGGACGATGTCCCTCTCACCCCAGGGGTAGACTGGTTTTGAGCAAGACAATGTCCCTCAAACCCCAGGAGTAGGTTGGTTTTGAGCAGGACAATGTCCCTCACCCCAGGGGTAGGTTGGTTTTGAGCGGGACAATGTCCCTTCTCACCCCAGGAGTAGGTTGGTTTTGAGCGGGATGATGTCCCTCATACCCCAGGAGGAGGTTGGTTTTGAGGAAGACAATGTCCCCCTCACCCCAGGCATAGACTGGTTTTGAGCGGGATGATGTCCCTCAAACCCCAGGAGCAGGTTGGTTTTGAGCGGGACAATGTCCCTCATACCCCAGGAGTCGGTTGGTTTTGAGCAAGACAATGTCCCTCTCACCCCAGGGGTAGACTGGTTTTGAGCAGGATGATGTCCCTCATACCCCAGGAGTAGGTTGGTTTTGAGCAGGACGATGTCCCTCAAACCCCAGGAGTCGGTTGGTTTTGAGCAAGACAATGTCCCTCTCACCTCAGGGGTAGACTGGTTTTGAGCAGGATGATGTCCCTCTCCTCACAGCCAGCCCTCCTCCAGATCACACAGACATTTTTTCTGCCACTGAAATCTACTTTCTAAGCCTCTTTTCTCATTTTCACATTCGTCCCCGAGGGAAGATAACCTCATCGTCACCTCTGGTGGCTGCACAGAGGGAAACCCTCAGCTGCCGAGATCCAGGGTGGAGGGCACGTGCAGAGGTGGGAACCCAAATAAATCTCTGTCTCTTGCTCCCCGACACCCACCTGTCAACCTCAGTTCATTAATTAGCCCTTGGGTGAGGAGAGAGCCCAGGACAGAGGGTCACAATAGCAGGAGGAGGATAATTACGACGACTCTACGGATGCTACATCTCCATTTACCCCCCTCCCGCATCTCCTGCTGCCAAGTTTCACGGCTGCAAAGTGTCTGCAGCAGGAGAATCCAGGCTGAGAGATCCCCAGTTGTTACTGGAGAAAAGAAAAGAGGGAGGTTGAGCTTCAAAGATGTCCAAAAATCCACTGTCTGCAGCAGGAGAATCCAGGCTGAGAGATCCCCAGTTGTTACTGGAGAAACAAAAGAGGGAGGTGAGCTTCAAAGATGTCCAAAATCCATGTTCAGCCACAGATTTGGGGCAGAAAACAGAACAGAAACCTCAGCTCCGTTCCCGTTTTCATTTGCCTTGAGTATTTAACACGGAGGGGACTTAAGAGATTTAAGGAGTCCTTAAGAGTCAAACTACTGCAGCTCACAAGAACCTGGACCACGGCCATGCTTATTTCTGTACTTCCAGAAAGCCACATTTTTGGCAAAGCTTTAAAAACTTCACACTGATGCTGTGTGGAAACTGTTCAAAGGATTTCCCGAATAAACCCCACGGTACGAGCTGTCAGGCTGGTTAATTGATCTCAGTAGGGTTGTCTCCACCCCAGTATTTGTGGGCCACCAAGATTCTGCTCTTCCCAGCCCAAACTAGAGAACGAATAACACTTCAGCATGTTCTCAGCTTAAAATGAGAAGTATCACCCGTAACCTGCAGCCCAGGGCAGGTCGTTAATCATTTACAACCCACAAACTTTGAAAGGCTTTTATCCATGTTTTACATATCATCGAGCTTGAGATGAAGACATCTTTCTGTTCCTTAAAACCCCATAAAGCAGTTCTGCTGCTGCAAAGTGCAGTAACAGAGTCATAGAATGGTTTGAGTTGAAAGGGGCATCGTAACAGAGTCATAGAATGGTTTGAGTTGGAAGGGGCATCAAAGACCATCCAGTTCCACCTCCCTGCCCTGGGCAGGAACACCTCCCACCACACCAGGTTGCCCAAAGCCCCCTCCAACCTGCCCTTGAACCCCTCCAGGGATGGAGCAGCCACAACTTCTTGGGGCCAAGCTCTCACCACTCTGCCAGCAAAGAAACTCTGGCCAACCTGGGCCAGGCCCTCACCACTCTCCCAGCCAACAAATTCTTCCCCAGATCTCATCTCAATCTCCCCTCTTTCAGCACAAAATCCTTCCCCCTCCTCCTATGGCTCCCCTCCCAGATCAAAGAGTCCCTCCCCAGCTTTCTTGTAGGCCACCTATTAATTTCAGAGCAAGAAAATAAAAACATTCATCCTTCCTGCACATAGACACAACCCTTCTGATCTCAGTGCCTGCTTGCACTCGATATCCCAAACTCAGCCAAACTCTTCTTCCCCTTATTTCCTTTTTCTTCTCTTTCCCTTTCCCCGAGGCAAACGCTCTACAACAGCTTAACGCGGATCCACGGACAATCTAATTCTCTTATTACTGTGGACTTCTCATATTTCAGCAGGATAAAGCCCACCAATAGATGGTAAAACGCTGCCGTTGGCATCTCCTGCACCTTTTTTCAGCAGGATAAAGCCCACCAATAGATGGTCAAACGCTGCCGTTGGCTTCTCCTGCAGCTTTTCGTTGGCCTCCAGTCATTTCTAGGACAAGGCCAGCATTTGCAATTGCCCCAGTGAACACAATTCCTCAGATGATCTGCTAGCTTTTAACCACAGCCAGCTGGCTAAGTAAGAGGGAGTAAAGAACAGTAGCTGCTCATTTGGGATTTTGATGTTAATAGCATTAATTACATCTACAATTCTGTGCATCCTTTGCATCTTACCAGGCTCTGGGATGATGAGCTGTGCACTGGCCTGCGCGTTTCCAGCTTCGTTTTCAGCCACGCACTGATAAAAACCTTCATCTGACTTTACCAAGCCCAGAATCCGTAAGTTGCTGCCACCCTGGAGAGAAGAAGTGGAGAGAATTAATTAGAAAAAACCACCATCCAAAACGAAATGTGGATTAGAAAACATTTCCAGATTACAAAACCCTTCTGAGAAACAAAGTACTACGGATGTAATCTCTGTTGAAGTGCAAACAGCCCTGGTCCTCAGAGGGTTGTGACCATAAACCCTTTCATCAGGAATCTCTTGACACTTTGTGGTCTTTGTGTTTTGTCTGAAGGTGCCCCCAGCCCAGGGCTGAATCCCCTTTTCCTTGCCCAGAGCCCCCCCCGCACCCTCCTGGAGATTGAAGCTCTAAATTCCAGCAATCACCAGAGTAAGAGCTTTGAATTTTATCTTGGCCCTTTTGCTGCAGGGGAAGATTTAAAAGAACTTCCAACTCGGCATCTTTGAACAAAGGTCAAACCCTCCTCATGGCTCGAGGCCTGGAGATCCTTCAGAAAAGGTCACCCTACTCCTACTTCATCCAAAACGGATTTAACTTTCAACTTCTCTTATCAAAAAGGGCAGCCAATTAAGGTGGGTAAAACATCTCAAGTGAGGGAATAAGCTCTGGCTGAAATACACCTTTCATTAATTATTGAGGGAAATTATTTCCTACCACCACAACCATCACAGCAATTGAGGTGTCTTTTCTTTGGACAGCTTCTGGCTGCTTCTAATAAACCATTGTGAATAAAAAAAAAAAGACTGGATTTTTGAAAACCCCTTTTTTGTCATTAAAGATGTGATGATAATCAAGTTACAAGGTGAAAAATTAGGAGCTGAACCAAGCCACGTCTCTGAAGAAACCACACCTCGTGGCCTAAGGACATCTTCACGGTGGTTGAAGCTTCCAAGAGGGTCCCCAACAGCTCAGTTTTGTCACCTACAAGCGATGCTGCTTTCTGGAGAGGCCACCTAGATCTACCCTTTCAGAAAACACAGCTTATATTATAGTCATATTTAATCTAAAAGAGGTTGGAGTCCTGGATGGGGATGTTATTTTGGGGAGGTGCAAAATGATTCTCTTTGAAAAGTTGCAATTATGTTGTAATTACATCCAATAACCCTTATCATTTTTAACGCCCTTGGAGAAGAAATCTGGAGAAGAACTGCTGGAGAGGGGACAGCAGAGGGCTACAAAGATGATGAGGGGCCTGGAGCATCTCTCTGATGAGGAAAGGCTGAGGGACTTGGGGCTTTTGAGTGTGGAGAAGAGAAGACTGAGGGGGGATCTGATCAAGGCCTACTTCTCATCCAAAACGGATTTAACTTTCAACTTCTCTTATCAAAAAGGGCAGCCAATTAAGGTGGGTAAAACATCTCAAGTGAGGGAATAAGCTCTGGCTGAAATACACCTTTCATTAATTATTGAGGGAAATTATTTCCTACCACCACAACCATCACAGCAATTGAGGTGTCTTTTCTTTGGACAGCTTCTGGCTGCTTCTAATAAACCAGGAGGAATAAAAAAAAATGATTGGATTTTTGAAAACCACACTAGAAACAACCTTTTTTGTCATTAAAGACGTGATGATAATCAGGTTACAAGGTGAAAAATTAGTCAAGCCACAAACAAGCCACATCTCGTGGCCTAAGGACATCTTCATGGTGGATGAAGCTTCCAAGAGGGGTCCCCAACGGCTTGGCTTTGTCACCTACAAGCGATGCTGCTTTCTGGAGAGGCCACCTAGATCTACCCTTTCAGAAAACACAGCTTATATTATAGTCATATTTAATCTAAAGAGGTTGGAGTCCTGGATGGGGATGTTATTTTGGGGAAGGTGCACAACGATTCTCCTTGAAAAGTTGCAATTAAGTTGTAATTACATCCAATGACCCTTATCATTTTTAAGCCCTTGTGTTAGAGAACAATGCCCTTGGAGAAGAAATCTGGAGAAGAACTGCTGGAGAGGGGACAGCAGAGGGCTACAAAGATGATGAGGGGCCTGGAGCATCTCTCTGATGAGGAAAGGCTGAGGGACTTGGGGCTTTTGAGTGTGGAGAAGAGAAGACTGAGGGGGGATCTGATCAAGGCCTACTTCAAGGGTGTCAAGAGGATGGGGCCAGTCTTTTTTCAGTGGTGCCCAGGGACAGGACAAGAGGAAATGGGCACAAACATGAACATCAGAAGTTCCATCTCAACATGAGGAGGAACTTCTTCACTTTGAGGGAGGCAGAGCCCTGGCAGAGGCTGCCCAGAGAGGTGGTGGAGTCTCCTTCTCTGGAAACATTCCAACCCCACCTGGACACGTTCCTGTGGGACCTGCTTTGGGAGGAGTTTGGACTAGATGATCTCCAGAGGTCCTTTTCACCCCCTTATCACTCTCTGATTCTGTATTTAACAATTACCACACGCTACCAACCACCTTTCCTACAGCAGGGTTAGTTGTGCCCTGTATTTTTCTTAAGGACGCCATTAAAATGAGTAATTTGCATAATTACTTTAGTGGAAATTATGCAGAATTAAGTCCAGGTAAGACACCACAAACAAGGACAGTGTAATACCCCAAAAGCACACAGATGTAACACACTTAGAGTGGAAATACATACGTGCATATATATATATATAGAGAGAGAGAGGATGTCACGCACTATAAATATACAATGTTATTTGTGTTCACAAAGGACAAGGAGAAGGGATGTCATTAACACGTGGTAAACAATATTATGAATAGAAACTCAGAGCATGAATGGACATTGTTACTGCTCCATGGAAAGACCAGTTTCAGCTCTAAAACTTGGAGACAACATCAATGGACTTGACCTAAGTCAATACAAGACCTCAATTCAAGAGGCAGCAGAAGTTTTATCTTTATGAAGTTACTGCATGAAATATCAGCCTACATTTCACAATTTAGTAAAAAATAATAATATATTCTAATAAGTAAAAGGCAGATCATTACCACTATCTGAAAATAGTCACTAGGGATGACGACTTCTCCATTCTTGATCCACTCCACCGTAGGCACGGGTTTTCCAGCCACGGCGCACTCAAACTCGATGTCCATGCTCTCGTAGGCATAAAGATTTGAAGGGCGAATTAAAAACCATGGTGGAACTGCAAAAAAAAGAGAGGGGGGTGGAAGGAAAGTGGCAGTGAACAGAAAGAAATTAAGGCTTAGCAAGTAAATCATTTCAACGAGCCTCAAAAATATTAGACATAAACAGAAAATAGATCTGTAATTCAAATTAATTCTCATTAACCCAGAGCCTATTAAAGATTAAATACGAGGGAAAACATTTATCCTAGAAAATACTTAGAAACAGTTGATGTTAATGTGTTTTTTTCCCAAATGAAAGAATTAAAACCTCAATTTAGAAGACATACAAGATTTATGTCTAGCAAAATATAGATACAATTCTCACTAAGAGAGTAGAGAAGTAATAAAATCTCAGTCATTCCAAAGGATTAGATGCCAACCTCCTACCTAACAAGGTCCTACAAGTCAACGCATGGGCAGATGCCTACAGGTACAAGACAAATCCACTGATAAATGCTACAAAATTCAAATTATTTAGAGCAGAGACACTTGGATAGAACCAAGAAGAACTTCTGGACTGGGTTTAGAGACGATGAGGAGATAATCAATAAGGAGGAAACCTGTCCCAAGCGATTGGAAGAAGAAAAGGTTGAATCATCTTTGTTGCAAATGAATTCTTATTAAGCCAGCAATTATCTGTTGCCTTGTATTACCGTAATGTATTCAGAGGTTTTTAGGATGCTATATGATATGCTAATTTAATTCAATTTCATCATTATTGGACTACTAGGATGATGGAAATTAGCAACTGGAGGAAAACTCTTAATAACATCATATTTCTAATGAGCCTCCCCCTGCATCCCCAGCATTGTACTGAAAAACACACAGAAGAACTCTGGAACCCACGTCTATTTTATAAATATATTGGGTACCATCCTGATATGGTATTTTTTTTTGCACATCAGACCAAAAAGTCTCATTGGGGATGCAGAAAATAAGGATAAAAGCTCAATATATGGTGTGAGCAACTAAACCCATGTCAGGTTAGAATAATATGGCACATATACAGATAAAATTCTCTTCTTCAGGGTTTGTTATTTCATCACCTTAACTAAAAAACTCCTTTTTTTTGCCTTATGGACAACAGAGTTTCCATGTTTTGCAAGAAATAGATGAGGGCAGAGTCCTAGACATTGTCACCAACCTCAATCCCACGGTCCCAATTACTCCTGGGTGCTCTCCAAACTTTTGAAATGAGATTATTTTATTTAAAACTGTGTATAATGCATAAAGCCAAGCAGATTAAAGTAAGACTACAAAGTTTTTGTATCAGCATTTTCTTGATTTTTAGCTCTGGATTCTGCTTTTGTGCCAAATTATTACCTACACTGAAATAAGCATCCTCCCTGTGCCCCTCCAGCACTGCTCTCACGCTCCATCTTCTCCGTTCCTCTTCCACATCGGGCCTTTTTATTTTTTTTTTTTCACCATATTTTTAAATAAGGATACCCAGAAACTCCCAATCTGGTCGGGATCAAACCCAAAGTGTGCAGATTAAAACTGATGAGGTGTCCTGATTAACTTAGCTGCCTAATTTCCTAAGGAAAGGGCTCAGAGGGCTGCGCGCAGTTGGATCGGCATCGCTCAACGTTGGGTTCTTCTTGAGAACTTGGGGCTCCAGACCCACACAGCCAAAATAGAGGCAATTTTATAGATTCAAATAAATAAACCATCGTTCAGAAGGAAACACCAAGAAATCAGATGCTGTCCGAGAGGTTTTTAAATTATATTATTCTAGAGATATACAAAAAGAGATCAATTAGTGGCCAAGGTATGAGGAATCAGCGTTGATATTATGGCTGAAGGAAAAAGAAACAAGAAAAAGCCAAAGAAAAACAAAATTACATGGGATCACATTCAGATGTTAAATTTTAACACTTTTTTCTTATGCTTTATCCAACAAACTCACATAAAACCACCCGTATCTATGTAGTTTACAAACCAAGGAAGTTTCCACAGCACTAACGAAATCATAAATTACTCATTCTTCATTAGTGTGCTCCAGGCTCCAGGACCCTGACCCCAGTTGCTTCCACCAGAACCGCTGCTCCTCTCCACCATTTCTCTTTTATTTTTAATTCCTGGCATTTTTCTACACAGGCAGAAAGCCAAATATTTGGTTTTTTAACGCTTTAAGTTCAGTATATTCATAACTTTGTGTTGACTTTCATCCAAAAATAATGTATTAATAGAATAATATTAATATAAATAATTCCCTGCAACAGGACAGGTTGGGGGTGACCTGCTGGAGAGCAGCTCTGAGGAACAAGACCTGGGAGACCTGGTAGACAACAGGGTGACCAGGAGCCAGCAATGGGCCCTTGTGGCCAAGAAGGCCAATGGCATCCTGGGGGGCATCAGGAAGAGTGGGACCAGCAGGTGGAGGGAGGTCATCCTGCCCCTCTGCTCTGCCCTGGGGAGGCCCCAGCTGGAGCACTGGGTCCAGTTGTGGCCTCCCCAGTTCCAGAAGGACAGGGCACTGCTGGAGAGGGGACAGCAGAGGGCTACAAAGATGCTGAGGGGCCTGGAGCATCTCTCTGATGAGGGGAGGCTGAGGGATTTGGGGCTTTTGAGTCTGGAGAAGAGAAGAGTGAGGGGGGATCTGATCAAGGCCTAGAAATACTTCAAGGGTGGGTGTCAGGAGGATGGGGGTGGTCCTTTTTCAGCGGTGCCCAGGGACAGGACAAGAGGAAATGGGCACAAACTGGAACATAAGAAGTTCCACGACAAGATGAGGAGGAACTTCTTCACTTTGAGGGAGGCAGAGCCCTGGAAGAGGCTGCCCAGAGAGGTGGTGGAGTCTCCTTCTCTGGAGACATTCCAACCCCACCTGGACACGTTCCTGTGGGACCTGCTCTGGGTGGACTTGCTTTGGGAGGGGGTTGGACTAGATGATCTCCAGAGGTCCCTTCCAACCCCTTATCACTCTCTGATTCTGTATTTAACAATTATCACACGCTACCAACCACCTTTCCTACAGCAGGGTTAGTTGTGCCCTATATTTTTCTTAAGGACACCATTAAAATGAGTAATTTGCATAATTACTTTAGTGGAAATTATGCAGAATTAAGTCCAGGTAAGACACCACAAACAAGGACAATGTAATACCCCAAAGCACACAGATGTAACACACTTAGAGTGGAAATACGGACGCGCATATATATAGAGAGAGAGAGGATGTCACGCACTATAAATATACATTCTATAAATAATTTATATATCAATAAAGGTCAACCCCTGCCATCTTTGCTCTCTATATGGTTTTTCTCTCAGTCCTGAATATTTTAAAAGCATGCAGATGTGAAGAAGGCTGGCGAGGCTTGCAAAGAAAATAGAGATATGTTGCTGTTTGCTGCTCCTTCTAATTTTATTACAACAATATCAACATGGCTTGAAAAAAATATAGACTTTTTTTCCCCAAAAAACTTACTATATTTCACAGAATTATTTTTTTTTTCCAGAAAACTTTTGTGAATTGAAAGTGAGATTTTTCCAGAACAGCCTGCACTGTTGGACGCTGATATCGTACTTTGCCCTGGCTTTAAAATTCTATCTTCAGACAAAAATCATTTAAAATAACATCTCTCTTATTCCAACAAGACAAATCCACTGATAAATGCTACAAAATTCAAATTATTTAGAGCAGAGACACTTGGATAGAACCAAAAAAACTTCTGGACTGGGTTTAGAGACGATGAGGAGATAATCAATAAGGAGGAAACCTGTCCCAAGCGATTGGAAGAAGAAAAGGTTGAATCATCTTTGTTGCAAATGAATTCTTATTAAGCCAGCAATTATCTGTTGCCTTGTATTACCGTAATGTATTCAGAGGTTTTTAGGATGCTATATGATATGCTAATTTAATTTAATTTCATCATTATTGGACTACTAGGATGATGGAAATTAGCAACTGGAGGAAAACTCTTAATAACATCATATTTCTAATGAGCCTCCCCCTGCATCCCCAGCATTGTACTGAAAAACACACAGAAGAACTCTGGAACCCACGTCTATTTTATAAATATATTGGGTACCATCCTGATATGGTATTTTTTTTTGCACATCAGACCAAAAAGTCTCATTGGGGATGCAGAAAATAAGGATAAAAGCTCAATATATGGTGTGAGCAACTAAACCCATGTCAGGTTAGAATAATATGGCACATATACAGATAAAATTCTCTTCTTCAGGGTTTGTTATTTCATCACCTTAACTAAAAAACTCCTTTTTTTTGCCTTATGGACAACAGAGTTTCCATGTTTTGCAAGAAATAGATGAGGGCAGAGTCCTAGACATTGTCACCAACCTCAATCCCACACTCCCAATTAATCCTGGGCGCTCTCCAAACTTTTGAAATGAGATTATTTTATTTAAAACTGTGTATAATGCATAAAGCCAAGCAGATTAAAGTAAGACTACAAAGTTTTTGTATCAGCATTTTCTTGATTTTTAGCTCTGGATTCTGCTTTTGTGCCAAATTATTACCTACACTGAAATAAGCATCCTCCCCGGGCCCCTCCAGCGCTGCTCTCACGCTCCATCTTCTCCGTTCCTCTTCCACATCGGGCCTTTTTATTTTTTTTTAACCATATATTGAATAATTTAGGATACCCAGAAACTCCCAATCTGGTCGGGATCAAACCCAAAGTGTGCAGATTAAAACTGATGAGGTGTCCTGATTAACTTAGCTGCCTAATTTCCTAAGGAAAGGGCTCAGAGGGCTGCGCGCAGTTGGATCGGCATCGCTCAACGTTGGGTTCTTCTTGAGAACTTGAGGCTCCAGACCCACACAGCCAAAATAGAGGCAATTTTATAGATTCAAATAAATAAACCATCGTTCAGAAGGAAACACCAAGAAATCAGATGCTGTCCGAGAGGTTTTTAAATGATATTATTCTAGAGATATACAAAAAGAGATCAATTAGTGGCCAAGGTATGAGGAATCAGCGTTGATATTATGGCTGAAGGAAAAAGAAACAAGAAAAAGCCAAAGAAAAACAAAATTACATGGGATCAC